AATTACTCTGCTTAGCATTACTATGAACAAAATTAGGATGAATGTCCAAAACCTAGCCTTCTTCGTAAAAGAAAAAATGGTGAACTTTGACAGTTGAAGTTACCTAAGATCACGGCAAGACTGATTCATTTTACTTCATCTGCCTCTTTGTCCGTTTGGTAGAGAAGGAGTGGCTTATGGATGCTTCATTGCTCTTTTTCTCCATGTTTTTCTGTTTTCTCCTTTGTTTTGAAAACCTGGTTTGTTCTGTAGAGGTTGATTGCCAGAAGTGTTTGCTGAAGAAGTTGCTTCAGTTGATGGAAGTATTACAATAGGTATGGGGTTTTGAGAGGGAAGGGGTGAATAGTGATAACAGTGGTAATTCAGTCCATTAGCTGGAATTAGATATTATATCAAACTAACAGTAATGTTAATGTTGATATATTTATGTTGCTTTTATTTGTTAGGCAACAGCTTAACAGTGATAGCCAGGCAACCTAAAGTTTATATATGGAAAACAGGAAAGCTGGACAGTAAGTAGAGAAGTGATCACAGCCTTTTGTTGCCCCGTACAATGATTTGCCATAGCAGAAGGAGTCTGTGTTAGCTTTGGGCTCTTTAGATCTATTTACTTCTGAACAGGATCTACAATGTACTGCTGTATTTGCATCGTCCCATAGCTTTCCTTTCTCTAAATAAACAATGCATGTGTTCCATCTCATAGGAGGGCATCTCATGTTTCATGAAAGGAAACTGTATTTTTATATACTTAGTTTTCAAACTCAGCTAGCTTTCTAATAACTTTCTAGTTATTCACACTGGGTGAATTAGTTATCAGAGAGGAAGATAAATTTTTACTCTTCTGCCTGAAATCAGAAAAATCTTAATTTGTTGCTATCAAAACCTTTTCTTTACAAAAAGAGGATCAGAAACTTCAGGATAGAATAGTAGGATAACTGTAACAAAGTACATTTATGAAGATCTGGATTCTGTATTTAAATCGTACACGCAACCTCCCCTGTCTTCTCGTTTGGCATGACTTACATGTCTAACGCTTGTGAGAGAATCTGCTAGGGTGACAAGAAGTTGTTTGTGTTTCTCTTGCTGTGTTATTGAAACAGCTTTTTTTCAAGAAGGACTGTAGTGATAATATGACCTTTAAAAATGTAAGTTTGAGAAGCCTTTTCTATTATCTATATAGAAACTTTGATATAACCCTCAATAAAAGCTTCCTTGAATGTTCTGGTTGCAGCCCTGTAGTGGTGACTTAATGTTTGTCTTCCACCATGTCTGGTGCAGCTTAAAAGTAAATAAGACAGCAAGAAAATTCAGGGCTCTGATTGCAGTGTGCAAATAAAGTTCTTATGTATTCAGCTACTTTCTCTGAGCCCTACTAAAAAAAAGAAAACCCAAAAACCCAAACCTTATATGTATAGACATTCGTTATTCCAGTGTTTAGATATATGAAAGTATTACAACTAGCATTTAAATATGCATTTTAAATGGTTTAAATTTCCAACTTAAGTCACAAGATAACTTGTTTAAATCCTTATTATTTCATTGTACTGCCCATAAGCCATGGTTAGGGTCCGTTATCCTAGGCTTTTTACAGACAATGACCAGTAACAAAAAAAACCTTCTTCATGCAAACTCAGGTTTTTAGATTGTGTTATGTGTCTATGGAATTCTTTTTCAAAGGGCTTATGCTATTTTCTTCTTTCCAAAGGTTAGAATGTGAAACAGGAAAGTGTGACAAATTCTGATTTAGGTAGTTTGATACCCTATTAAACTTTGTCAGAAACTGAAGGATGGTTAGCATTGCACCAAGCCTTGTTTCAGCAATTCATAGCATATTTCATTAGTTGAAATACAGTTCTTTGGTATAGCACATCATGAAACTTCCTCCCTGTTTATCCTACTCCATTCTGTGCTCCAAAGTTGCTCAAGGGAGGCAATATCCTCTTTACGGTCCTCTTATAAATTATTTTTTGTGGGCTGCTATGTTAAAACAGTTTCCTACCTTGGACTGATCATCAGTCAGAAGTTGCTGCTTTCTGACATGTTAAGGAATACATCCCCCAACTGTCTAGTTTTCAAGTCAGTGAGATAGACTGGTATTACTTTCCTTGAATGTTATACCTGCTTCAAATATCTGCAGGTTTGCAGGAGTCTCCAAAACAGCATATCTTGCTATACAGCCCTATAAGGCAAGGTATTTGTATGAACCACACTGGTAGATTACAAGTCACCGGGGTCTGAATCTGTAAATGACTCATGTTGTTGAGCTGGCATAAATAATCAGTTCTGCTTTTAAGCTGCATTATCAAGATTCCCACCCCACTCCCCACCCCTTTTTTTCGCCCAACAAAAGAGACAAATCCGTGGGCATGATGATGTCTCTGTAACTGTTTCCATTCCAGCTCCTGACTGCTTGGATCTGATCACATGCCATTGCTCTCAATTTTGCAATTGATGTAAATTATACTATTCAGACCTCACTAATATTACTGTCTTTGATCCTTTAGGTACTGACAGCCAGGCACTACAGCCACAGGCTTTTTCTGATTGGTTTGGGAAATCCTTTTACGAAACAGATGATGTTCCTCCCATGTAAGAAAGTTCTTTAAATGGGCACCTTAAAATCAGCTAGTCCACAGAGATCATTCATACGAAGCAACCTTGACTGCTGTGTCTCAAGCATATTGCTTTCTCCTGTGGATTTAAGATCCTGGAGGAATTTCTTTTGAAATAGACTGTGTGTTTCTGCCTGATCTTCCTCATATAAATCATTCTCATAGGTTGGAGTGCTAATTCGGGAAAATTACAGAGACTATATCAAAAACAATATAAAAATATGAACCTTTTTCCATGCTTGCTACATTGATTGTAGACATTGCTGTAAGGCTCCAAATGGTTGGTGCTCATGCAGAGAGAATATTAGACCAGATCCATTGACTGGTGCAGTTAATCCCTAGGAAGCATCAGAGCGTTCAAAAAATTATGAAGATAATAAATAGAAAACTGACATGATGTAGCCTAGAGATTTAAAAAATATACTTATTACTAATGGATTGTGGCCAAAAGAGTAATGCCAGAAAGACCAGCATAAAACTTTAACACTATTCAAGGTCAGAGTGACTTTTTAACAGTCAGTAGTTTTCTGAAGGGAATGAAGAATGAGAAATAATAGCTATTTTGGTATTTCCTCAGGCTCAGGTTTCCTGATTTCAGAATGCAATACTATTCCCAAAAATTCCAGTTTTCTTATTCTGGGATTACTTTTTAAATACTTGTAGAAATCAGTGGAGAAGCTCTTAAATTTAGGAGAGATGTGATTTGCTAAAAAGACTTGAATGAATGTTTATAAGATTTCTGGCAAATAATGTGGAAATTGTTACAAGTATTCTAATATTCCCAGAAGGCCATGGAAAATGTTGACTGCTGATGTCCAAAGTGTACTGGACTGAAAACTCACCTACACCATCTAGATTTTGTTTGTGGAACGTTACGTCTGAACTAGTAGTTACATCTTAATGACCAGTTTGAATTTGGTGGTACTTACAGAATCCTTAAGTTTTGTCTGTTGTTTTGGGATTTTTTGGTTTGTTTGTTTTGGATTTTTTGGGGTTTGTTTTGTTTGGTTGGTTGCCTTTTTTTGTTTTGTTCTAATGCTTTGATAACAGTTATTGGTGTCCCAAAAGAGAGTACGCTGAAACGGTACAATTTTCTCAGGGGCAACAAGCTTGGCTTTTTTCTTTTTGTCCCCCCAAATGATGTCGATTTTCGGGTAAAGTGAAAGGATTAGTAAAGACTAAGAAGTACTTGAGAACGTTTATAGTTGCATAAACTGGATTAATGATGAGTCCTTAGATTTTTTTGCATGTTTGAGTGCTAACATGAAAAGATATGTTCCAAGTATTAGTGGTAGGAAACAAAGCCAGTCATTAGTAGTAGTGACACCACACATCATGCGTGATTGATTCTTCTTCTGTATTAAATTTATGCTTCTCCATCTCACAAGGTTTCACTAGAATTACTTTTGACTTGTACCAGGGCAAATGAAAGAAAAATTAAGCCAATCAATGAGATCCTGTATTTCCATCTCTGTCTCCGCCACAAGAAATGAGAAGCCAGCAAAATATGTTGCCTGACAAAGACTCTCAAAGAAAAATTGTTTTCTACAGGAGAGTATAGTACCTCTGAGAAAAGGAAGGCATAGCTGAGGATTAATAAAGATTTGAAATCTATGTTAAGGGGCATTACTTTTTTAAGAGAAGCAGCACCGATGTGAAGAGCTGTGTATCCAGTAGGGTACAAGCTGTCATGAGTCTGCCCAAGCAAACCCCAGGGAAGCAGAAGCCGTGTTCACTGAGGAAGTGCTGTTTCTTTTTAAAAAGTTGAATCAATTTTTCAATGGATGCAACTTCTTGGTACATATCATAGTTTATTTTGTAAGTTTTGTCACATAATGCAAAGTCATATTAATTTTATGGTAGAATATACAGAACTGATAAATAAAACAATGCAAGATCTTGGACAACTTTGTAGTAGTAAGTCTAGATAGGTAACTGAATAAAGTAATTATCTTCTAAGATTTTTTTCTTCTACCAATGTAGAATACTTGAGCACCTGTTAGGGAATCTTTAGGGAACTGCGGGAGAAATACTTCAGTTATGATGAATTTCACATGAAAGCTTTTGAATAGCAAGTGAGTCTTTTAGCTCTGTTAGCATTTTGATATCAGTTGGCTGTAATTTCAGAGCCCAAGTACCAAAAAAAAAAAAAAAATCTGAATATGTTCTATCAGTTTGTCACAAGCTGTGGGAAAGTAGTCAGGGCATCATTCTTTTGGAAGTACACAAGGGCAATAGGATACAGAACTGAGCTTGATAAGATATAAGATAATTTAAAAAAAACCCAAACAACCAACTACCCTGTTTCACAAGAATGTTGGTTTGTGTTTAGCAGAGTACCATTTCTTGTAATCTGCTATGAGAAGGTAGGGACCAGACATTTTCGGGATGCATGGACATGATCTGGAAGAAAATACCCTTTGTTGGAACTTGGAGATTTGGGTTCGGATAACAGAGAACGTATGTTCTCCTTAAGAGTTAAGACACACATTTTTCACATTGAACTTGGAGGTTTTTATTTCCTCTTGAGTAAACAACAGTTGCAGGTAGAATATTTTGTTAAGTAATGAGCAGTAGCATCGTTCTCCTGGACTGTCTAAAAAGGGGGGTGGGGATTATATGTGTGTAAACAGAGGATAAGTTTATTAATAACAAGAACACTTGTTTCAGTATACCTTCACCTAATTTAAAATGGAAAGAGGCTTTTGTCCTCAGCTCAAATGCAGGCTAGATATGGCAGTTGAATCCCTCATTTTTTTGCTTACCCAAGTTTTCATCTGTTGTCTTCCCTCTGTGTGTGTGTGTGTGTGTGTAGTTTGCATGTGTATCTATCTCTACACGGATACATATGTTCATGTATTTGTTACTGAAATGTGTACATAATACTTCCAGGACAAACTAGAAATCATTCTGCTGTATTTCTTTGGTAGTTCTGACTCCATAGGCTTTAACCAAATTTTAAGTATTTAGGAGGGTGGCGGATTTATTAGGGATTATTTCCTATTAGCAACTCCCAATTTTAGACATTACTTTTTAAGAATCTCCAGAATTTATAGTATAGATTGAAACTAGAGACAATATCTAAGAGTCTTGCTTTTCTTTTTTAGTAGTAACTTCTGTTACATTTGTGGTAACATTAAGAACTCTTTTTTTATCAATCTCTCTAAAAGGCAAATTCCTTCCCTCCTTTCCATTCTCTCAGCTACCATCAGAGTCTAAATCTGTCAAGTTGGTTAACTAGTCATCATTTTAAAAGCATGTTTTTTATATACTCTGTTTTATATACTTTTTTCTGTTCTTCCTCATTTCTGAAACTCCGTATAGCGGTTGTCTCCTTTTTCCATCTTCACAAACTTCTTCATGGTACTTGATTTTTTGAATTGCATCTACATGTTGGTGATACGGCCAGTTATTCCTGTTGTTCATGTTCACTGTATATGAGCTATTTGCAAACAATTTTACTGTTTTGTTTGTTTTGAATTAGGCTCACGCACAGTTAGTTCGAGAAGTCGATGTAGAGAAGGTGTCAACTTTTGAGAACCCGTATGTAGATGCAATAAGAAGCTTATGGAATGACCCTGGAATTCAGGAGTGTTATGATAGACGACGGGAGTATCAATTATCAGATTCAACTAAATAGTAAGTACATGGTGGCTACAACCAACTAGATACCATCTTCTGTTTCTAACAAAGTAATTTTTACTTTTTAGCTTCTTATACTATATGTTTGTGTACATGTTTGTATGCATAACCAGCACAAACATACCTGAATATACACTTACTAAACTGAATTCAGAGGATACTTTAAGGAGTGGAGTACAGCTAGTTTAGGATTATATCTGTGTTTGTTGCACAGAATGACAGTCTGTGGTCATTTGAAGTCTTAAAGTAAGATTCTAACTAGGGATAGTTAATCACTGATGTTTCTGTTTTCTTTTGTTATACGTGTTCAGGCCCTTACTCTCCTCTGGCATACACTCACAAATGCAAGCTGGACAAAAATACTTTCATGTAGTATGACAGTGCTGAATACTGGCAAGTGCAATCAAGGTAGACCTCCATACAGTTAATAAAAATTATAATGCCCCAGAACTCCTATTTTCCTAGGTTTCCCCCTTTTCCTTCACAGCTCGCTTTTGCAGTCCCAGTGGTGAGGTAAAGAGTACTAAGCAAGGGTTCTTGTGTTCTGCTGAACTCCCTTTGTTTTATAGAAACAAAGCCTAAACTTTAAAGAACATGACTGCCAGGAAGACAACAGGAAAAAAGCACTTGTAGTTAAACCCTTTTTGTTATAGATGAACAATAATGAAAATGCATATGTGACTAAACTATGTCTGAAGTGTCATGTCTTTAGTTTTTTGGGGCTGGAATCTGATAAAATAGCACTGTGAAATTTAACATTGGAATCTGAGGACTGCCTGAAGACTGACTCCATGAAATTATTCTTGAGTAATGTAGCATATAGCTGAGATAAAATTTCTCATCTATTGTCAAAGAAATGGACGATGGTAAGGGATGATGACCTTTTGATGTTGACCAATGTTAAAAAATACAGCATAGTTATTGAAGCTGTGGGAAAAACCTCCATAGTCTCCACATGAATTTTTGTATTAGGTATGAAAATTATTCTGATGATACCATTCCAGTCTCCGTTTGTCTGGTGTACATGAATGGAAGCCTCTTATTGAGGAAAGCATGGAAGAACAGAAAGGCACCATGAAGCTCCCATTAAGCTCACTGGAACAGGGCTATAGACATGAGATGTCTGGCATGACATTTATCTACACAGTAGCGTGAGGATTCTCATCTAGCACAACAATTTATATGGGATTTAGTCAAGCTAAACTTACTAGCATCTTGCTGATGCAAGGCAGCTGAGGAGCTACAGAGGCATGACGTAGGTCTCCTCAGGTTTGCTCTGATGCACACCATGTTGTTCTGCTGTATTTGCCCTATGCATAGGGTTCCTGTTGTCCTATGCAGTTTGCTGTCCTGTGGAGCTGGTTACCTTCCCGACCTATTACTTTTATCATTTGTGTATGCATATTGTGGTGCAGAGTGGTGCAAAGCACAGTGGCATCTCTCTTGTTTTGTTTGGATTCTCACTGTCCCCAACCATACTGTGTTTTGGTTTTTAGTGGTAAGAAAACAAATAGAATATTACATAAAGTGAAAAACTTCAGGGCGCATAAATGATGAAAAGAAAATTTTAGAGACAGGTTACTGACAATATACTTTCATATTGTTATCATACCGAAATGAGCAGCAAGCATAAGTAGAAGGTGAAGCAGAGCTTGTCTTATATTCTTGTATTTCTAGGTCCTAACTTTTGTTTCCCCAACAGATGTGATACTGTTTTTAAAGCTGAAATAAATGTATGTATTTTGTGTGCTTGCCTTAGAGGATAAAAATAGAATCACTTACTCTCCAAAGTAGGAAGTAATTATCTTGATGCTACATCAGATCAGATTGTGCTGAATACCATAGTTTTGACCTAGTTCTAATGAAATTGTCACCACAGTGGATCTTTTGAGTAGTATTAAAAATAGTAGGGAATAATTCAGTAAGTACTGGAAAATAACTTGCAAAAGGTAAATGTACTAGTTGATTGGTTATTTTTCATACTCAATATGTTTAGCAATTTAACATGAGTTTTTGCAGATTTGGTGACTATTATAGTTCATACTATGGATTTCTGTGAAATCTGTTTTAAATCAGAATTGTGAATCACTGTATATGAGTCTTTAGAAGAGCCTCTCATCTTTATGCTTGCAAGTAGAGTTTTTTCAGGTATGTAAGTCCAGTAAAAGCAATTAGCAGAAACCAAAGAAACATTATTTAAAAAATACAGTGTGTATGTTTAGCAATAAAACACCCAAAGAGACTTTCCAGCTTTAAGTCCCTGTCACAAAGCAAGAAAACAAAATGCTTAAAACTTACTATTGCGATTCACAAGGCAGTAAGACAGAAGTAAGCACCCAGTACCCATTGACTTGGTGAGTCTTAGTGATTTCTTCTGACTTGATGTATAAACCAAAATGGTTGGTTGTCCACCAGATCTCTTCTAAGCATATGTGTTAATATTTTTAATCATGTGTCAGTACGTCACACATATTTTTCATTCATCCCTTGCATGAGCCTCTCCTCAGTAATTTTCCCGTGTTTTTGCAGTAGTAGTATTTTCAGTCTGTTCCCTGTATTGCTTTTTTTCACCCTTCAATGTTATTACACACTGTCTTCCTAAATCTTTCTTCTGTATTTTCTGTTTCCTTTATTGTTTCTGAATTCTGTTTCTGGTTTCTAATATATCCAGTATGTTTCTATACTTCTGTGATCTTTTGACCTGCTTTGTTGTTGTTAGCTACACTTTCGATGTTTTTATACCCACTGCTAATACCCTGGAAGAATACATCAGATGTGTGTTTACCAGAAGAGGTGAGGGTAGGGTCTAAGGAAAAAAATTTCCTGCATTGTGGGAGTTGATTTAAACCTCCGGGAGGCTCAGCAAATACATTCCATTCCCTTTCCTTGCCATTGGATGCTCCAAAGATTGGGTGTTTTTGTTGTTTTTTGAAAATAATTTCTAGACTCCTCTGGTAAAGTCAAGAGCACATCAGGTAAATAGAGATTATTCACTTTCATATACATTACGGGGTGACTTAGCCACTTACTTACCACCAAACCACTTCCCTTTAAGATACTGTTCACAGTGTGAGACAGATGTAAACCAATACCGCACTGTGGATTGCCTTAAGTAATAGCTGTGTGAGATTAGATCATTCAATATTGTACTGTACAGGGTGTCAAGACATTAACCCAAATGTAAACAGGTTACAAGTCAACAGTCTGATTATATTATGGCTGTTCAAAGCCTGAAGAAAGGAGAGGCAACAGTCTTAACTGTTATCAGTAACAGAGAGAGAGAGCTGACATAAGTAACATTTCACATTTATGTGACAACCTGCAGAATTTGGGTTGCAACTAGAATTTGTGGAGATTCATCGCCATTTTTCCCCAATATGACACTAAGAGCTTTCCCTTCAAGAAGAAGAAGTAGGAAGTGTTTAGAACTGGAAAGTGTCTCAAGAGCTTTGCTGAAAAACTTCATCCTTCTCTGGCCCCCTGAAATGGAAGTATTATGTCATTGTGTACCTCCAGCCAAGGACTTTCTAGCTGCTACACAAGCACTGAGGATATCTGTTTAGTTTCCCTTTCATGGCTGTGTTTTCTAACACTTCAGATAATTAAACAGAATTTTCCCTCAAATTCCTACCCCACTGTGTTAGCTATGCCAGTGGATATTTAATACCCGACTTTGTTATTATTTAATGCACCGCTTTATTAGTCATACATGCCATGGCATTCTCATACCTACATGAGAGTCCTTCAGGCTTTTGGTTCTGCATTTGCTATCACCTTTAACAACTTAGTTCCTACAGTTGTACAGCTGTACATACAGCTGTGATTATGTGAGTTGAGTTAGTTGGACAGTTAGTACAGAAATGCAGATTCCAGTATTTTGTATGTAATAAGAGACATCTTCAGAGTATCACCGATCGTTAACAGGGAAGAAAAAGATGAATCCTAATGATGTCTGCTTGTTAAAGTTCATGTTTCACCTTTTGTGAAACCATTGCATGAATTGTAGTACTTTGGTCATCTAGTAATTTTTGTATGACAGTATTCCATCTGAGTTTGAAGTTTTTGTAACTTCAGCTGACCAATTAATTCCTTCATACCTGGGTGTTAAAAATAACCTTTTGCTTCCATGTTTGACTTCTGAAATAGGTGCATTTCAGAGGAATTAGTGTGCTAAATAGGATGTGCTTAGGGACCCACAAGGGGAAGGATCAGTGTATGAATCTAAGTTTTTACTACAGCAGTTTACTCCATTTGCTGGTATTGCCTCTAGTGATCAGAACATTCATTATTTAATAAATCTGTAGGGAATTCTTAGGGCATCAGGGGTCTGTGTGAGCCTTTCAGAAGGACTAATATTGTCCTAAATTGAGACCTGCTATGCAGCTGACACTGGTATAGCAAATTATGAACAACTGTCTGTGTGATATCTGTGTAATAGTCATTTGTTGGAGGTGAGAAAACCATATACTCATAATTTATAAGATACATAAGCACACATTTAACAAATATTTTAATTGTGTTCATTGATTCTTTCTTGCCTTCATTTGTAAAAATGTACTTGAAGGTTCTAAAGCTATATTTGGGGGCAATTTGTGTTGCAGAATGGTAGATTCTGCTTTTAAGTATTCACAGTTTACACAGCCTTACTTGTGTAAGTTTGTGGTAAGATAAAAACAGCAAACAAAAATGAAAGTCGAAAGATTAAGCTCAAGTACTAGCAACAGAACCATGCTAATGCTATCATATGCCTTAGATATGGTCCCCAAATATAAAAGGAAGGTCTGAAGAAAGATGGGACATGAAATCTGCTGCATACGAAAGTACTGCATCTTGTAGAAAAACTGAAGATTATGCAGCAGGACTAGGGAAATTCAGAAAGGGAAGTGGGGTTATGTAAAGCAGTATACAGCATGTATTTCTTTCAGGATCCTTTTTTTTCATGCACTACTGAACATGTTTTTAATACCTGTATAATTTTTAAACTGTATTTCCTATTA